ATGTACCCGGCGTGAGTTTTAAGCCACCGGGACGCAAACCGCGGTCAATTACATAGGAGTCCAGCGACATAGCCATTACGCTAACTGCTGGTCCCTGGTATTTCTTTTAGAAACACAATAACAAGATAAACAGGCACCCTTGACAGGGTTTCATCACAGTGTGATTTCCTTCCCATAGCCCTCCCACTCATCAGGATCTTTGGTGAGCACACACCTGCCATGTTTTCAGGTCAACTGGAGATCCAAATGGGTGGTTGACCACGTGACTTCCAGCATTGTGGTTCAGCATACTACTGCCTACATCACCAAGAATAGCCCCTCCATATTTCTAAAGAGTGGTATCACAACTTCTGCTAGAGATGAGAACCATTACGTTTGAGAGACCTAGAGCACTATAAGATAGGAATTAAATAACACCTGAAGATTTTGATGGTGTTTATTGGGCTCTTTGGATCACCACTGGATATACTTGAGGGTTTTTTTAAAGAATGATTTTATGTAATTTTTTATTTTTTATTTATTTATTTTTTAAATTTTAGTTTGACTAAGAGTGAGAGATAGAAAGTGCAAAAGCAAGCTACCAGGTCTGGGACTCAAATCGTGATAGGCCATGTGGGAGTCCAGTGCCCACGCCACCTGTTGGCCCCTATACTTGAGTGTTTGAAAGGTACTTGAAATTATCGCTCTGAGATAGCTCGAGCTATTTACCATAGACTTGAAAAGGGGATATATGAAGTTTGAAGTAAACAGATTAAGTGTTTGCCCTAACTTAGGAATGCCAAAGATTTCATGAAAGACTAGAAGACTCACTCTACACCCCCCACCTCCACATTGTCTGTAACTTAGTAGTTCACTGTTTGCTAGGCAGTGGTCAGATTCTATCTCTTGTGTTTTCTTCTCATAAAAGCCTTTAGTGGGACTTTTATTTACAAATTTATAGTTAGGAAATTTACGAAATTATTTGCTGAAGATATACATAACTTGTAGCTGCTAGATCAAGGATCTAGTTACCAGATGTCTTTGGCCCTAAAACCCAGGCTCTTTTTAAATTTTACCATGCCGTCCTTTGAGTGAAAAATGGTTGAAGTAGAAACAGCAGTACCAACATGATAGGAAGAGAGAATCTTATTATAGGACTGGCATTCTTTTTTTTTTTTTTTTTTGGGAGAGGTTTTTGCTATAGGGCACATGCGCTCACCAGAAAGACAGAGACAGAGAGACAGAAAGCGAGAAGTCACCCCCCAGGGGGAAAGGCCATACCACAGTCCTTTCTCCATTCTCCTCTTGGGATCTTGGGCACGCATGCACACGTGCCCGGCGTGAGTTTAAGCCACCGGGTCCGGGACTCGAACCACGGTCGACTACGTGGGAGTCCAGTGACATAGCCATTATGCTAACTGCTGGTCCCAGGACTGACATTCTTTGATACCAACAGATACTTTCCCCCAGCCCCAAGTCTCTTGGTTTATGTTACAGTGTTGGCATGGCTCTTGACTTGAGTGCCTTAGTTTCCTTTGGAATAGTAAACTCTGTGGTCTGTGGGTTTTGGGGGAAATTGTAGAGAATTTTTTTTCTGCTGAGAGAAAAGATATAAAGGAGAAACTTTCCTAATATTAGCTTAAATTATTTAGAAATAAATTTTAACTGATTCGTAAGCTCCTTTTGAAGAAAGTTGTTTAGGTCTAGAGTAAATCGCTTAGATTTTTCTGTCAGTCTGCTTCCTATTTGAGTCAGGTTATTGTGGCATGTGATCAAAACATTTCTATCTAAGGATACCCTATTTAAAAAACAAAAGCAGGCACAACCTCTGTGACTCAGTCTGTAGTATACCAAACTGGAGTTGAAAGCCATGGTTCAAATCCTCAACTCATTTGGCCTTAAAACTTGCCAGGCACGTGCACGCAAACCGAGAATCCTGATGGACTACAGGATAAAGAAAGGGATTGCCGTGTGCCCAAGCCCTGGGCTGTGGCGAATACGCTCCAGGTGTGTGTGTACAAGCATTCACTATCATTGGTAAAAATAAATATCTAAATGTGTAGTACATAGATTAAAGAACTTTCTTCCAAGTCAATTGAGAGACTGTAGAAGCTGCTTCTGTGGTAATATTTACATACGTATGTTAATATAAACTAGTCTTTATAACCAGAAGACTACCTGCCACTGACTAGAGGATGTTTGGTCACATCGGTACATTTCTTTCTTTGATTCCATAAGCTTATAATGTAGTTGGTAGTTTTGGTTTCCTAAAACCCATGCCAGGAATACAGAGAACAACTTTTGAGAATGCCAACTATTTTCCTTATTATAGGACTCTAATTTAGCTAAATGCATTTATTCAGGTTTTTTCTGTCTATTATCATGGAAAGGTAGTTTGACTATCTAGTGACAGTGGACTTGAGTCTGGAGCACTTCAATTAATGCACTTAACATCTCACTACTGAGTTTTCTCCATCTAGTTTACCTTTATTGTAATGACTTAAATATTTTGGGACCAGCAGATGGCTTAATGCTTTCGTTGCTGGACTCCCTCATGGGTGACTGCAGTTCCAATCCCTGACCAGGTGGCTTGAAACTCACTCCAGGCATGTGCGTGTGTGTGTGTGCGTGCATGTGTGCCCAAAATCCCGAGAGCGCATACGACCTATAGTAAAAATCTCTTAGGCAAAAAAAAAAACCTTTCTCTCCAGTGAGCACATACGACCGATAGTAAAGATCTCTTAGGAAAAAAACAAAACTTTTTTTCCAAGTAACTTTTTCTAGTCCTCCAATATTTGCCGGCATTTTCTCAAAGTATAAGTAACATATTTAAGACAGCATAAACTAGAGGTACATGATTTATTAGGTTGTCTTCTCTCAGGAGTTACACAGATAATTACATAGATGAAATCACATTATTTTACTACTTATAAGGCAGAATTCAATTTTCAGTTTTAATTTTTTTTTCCTTTTTCTTAGTTCATGGTAGAGCGCATGTTGTGCACACATCAGAAGAGAGATGAGCACCCTCTACAAGGTGTGGTTACATTACTGTCTTCCCCCAGCCCTCTAGCCCATCAGATTTTAGGTATCATATGGCCACCCAGGTTATGTCAGGCTAACCAGGCTGAGGATTTGAACTGTGTTCAGTCATCATGTGGGACCTGGCTTCTCTTGAGCAGTGTATATTACCTCTGTGCCAAAAGATGGTCCAAACTTGAGTTTAGACAGCTTTATTGAAGTATAATTTATACTGTAAAATTGCCCCACTGAAATTGTACAATTCATTTTTTTGTTTTTTAGAACATTTATAGTTATGCAGCCAACACAACACTTAAGTTTTAGAACATTTCTATAATCCCCCCAAATTTCTTGGAGTCCGTTTCTACCTTTAGCCTCAGGCAACCACTGATCTGCTTTGTACTTCTCTAAATTTGTCTTTCCTAGACATTTTAATATAAATGGAATCAGACAGTTTGTAGTCTCTTTATGTCTGGTTTCTTTCATTTTGTATAGTGTTTTTGAGATTCTTCCAAATTGTAGCATGTTTTAGCATTTTGTTTCTTTTGGTTGCTGAATAGTTTTCCATTGTCTGGATATACCACATTTTACTTAACCATTTACTAGCTGATGAGTGTTTTAATGTTTTCTATTTTCTTTTTAGAGAGGTTTTTTTTGGCTGTAGGGCGCGTGCGCTCTCCAGAAAGACAGAGAGACAGAAAGCGAGACATCTCCCCCCCGCCCCAAGAGGAGATGGCCACGTTGCAATGCCTTCTCCTCCATTCTCCTTTTAGGATCTTGGGCACACATGCACACGCACCCATCATGAGTTTGTCACCAGGTCCGGGACTCGAACCATGGTTGACTACACGGGAGTCTAGCAACATAGCCATTACACCAACTGCTGATCCCAATGTTTTCTATTTTCAGCAATTAAAATTCTGCTTAAACAACTGTGTAAAAGTCTTTTCATCTCTCTTAGGTAGAAATCTTAGGGTCAAATGTGTTGTTTTCTTTAAGCTTAAGGGTCTCTGTCCTTTTTTGCTTCTTTAAAATAAGGCATTGAGGGACCAGCAAATGGTGTATTGATTATGTTGCTGGACTCCTATGTAGTCAACCAAGTTCAAGTCCCAGACCCGGAGGCTTAAAACACACTAGGCACATGTGTGTGGGTGCCCAAGATCCCGTGGGGAGAAAGGAGGAGAAGGGATTGTGGTATGGCCATCCTTAAAAAAGAAAAATAAGATATTGAGGGGCTGGCAGTTGGTATGACGGTTAAGGTGCTCAATTCCCACATAGCCAATTGTGGTTCTCGTGCTGGACCTGGCTACTTGCTTTCTCACCTTCCCTTTTTCTCTCTCTTTGTCTCTCTCTGGTCAAATTAAAAAAAAATAATAATAATGACGAAGTAAAATGAATAATTTTTTTAAAAAAATGTAAGGCATTGGGTGGCCAGTAGGTGGTGTGGAGGTTAAGGCAGCTGGATCTTACATGTGGCTAACTGCATGGTTTGAGCCTTGGACCCAGCAGCTTAAAAATCTCACATCAGGTGCGTGTGTTTGTGTGCCCAAAGTCCTGAGAGGAGGATGGAGGAAAATGGATTGTGGTGTGGCCATTCTCCCCTGGGGATGAGTTCTCACCTTATCTCTCTCTGGCCAGCCCATGTGCTTTATAGTAAAAATTGGGAGGCTGGGGGGAAAGCGGCGGGGGGCCAGCTTGTGGCATGGTGGTTAAGGTGTCTGGATCCCACATAGTCAACTAGTGGTTTGAGTCCCAGACCCAGCAGCTTGAAAGACATACCAGACTTGTGCTCTTGCATGCTCTAAATCCTGACAGGAGGGAGAAGTAGAAGAGAAAGGATTGTGGCTTGACCATGCCCCATAGGGGGGTGACTTCTTGATTTCCCTGTCTCTTTCTCTTAAGGTGAACACACACACCCTGTGGCAGAATTAAACAATAATAAGGCATCGGATCTTTTTCCTTCATTCTTTCCTTTTCCCCCCTTTATTCTTCTTGCCCAGGGAGCACAATACTTGGGAACCTGAGAAAAATTTGGATTGCCCTGAGCTAATTTCTGAGTTTATGAAAAAGTATAAGAAGATGAAAGAGGGTGAAAATAACAAACCCAGGGAGAAGTCAGAAAGTAACAAGAGGAAATCCAATTTCTCAAACAGTGCTGATGATATCAAATCCAAAAAAAAGAGAGAGGTAAGCTTCCTTTCCCTTTTCTCCACCTCTAGCCTTTGAAACTCTTCCTCTACCCCTTCCAATGTAATGCCTTATTTTGGTTATTTCTGTTCTAAGGATGAATCTGCAAGGTAAACTGTTAAACAAAAGAGTTTCCAGGAAGGTATGTTGATTACAGTGCCCCCTCCTGGTTGAGTGAGAAATACAATTCATGGCCACTGAATTATATTAAGGTGGCAAGATTAAATCTTTGTAAAACATTAAACTGCTCTCTGCCTTCTCCATAAGCAGTTATCTTAGGAGAGGGGAGGGTCTTGGTGAATTTTTCAAGGATGGATGGGAGCTTTTGAATATTTACCATTTCCCTTTGATTTTTCTTTTGTTCCAGTGATAGCACTTATTTTCAACCCTATGTGTGTTTTTTTTAATTAGGATGAAATTCCTATAATACAGTTAATCTTTTTAAAGTGTTCATGTCAGTGACAGTTATATTTTCTCTTGATCTTACTATTTCTAGATACTCTGAACTAAAAATTTTCATCTTTCTTTTGAATCTTTTTACCGTTCAGTTTGGAAAGTGTGTTTAAGAAATTTTGGTTTGATTTAGTTGCAACATTCTGATCTTTCTCAAGTAACTGCATGAGCACTGTTATTGCCTCTGTTTCCATCTGTGTGTGTGCACATATACACATCACCTCCCCCAGCTTTCACTCCTTTCATTTATTTCAAGGTTATGAAGCCTTTTGTGTGAAGGATATATCATACGCTTAAAGTTTAATAAAATAAAAGCATAAGCCCACTTCTGAATCTTCTAGCATCACTGCCACAAACATCCCTATTTATCTTCATTCTGCTTGGATACCTATTTCTCTAGAGCATTTGTTCTCAACTCTGGCACATTAGAATCACTTGGAGGCAAAGATACTTTTAAAAAATCCCCGGTGCCCAAGAGGTACCACAGACAAGTTAAATTAGAATTTCATTGGGTTGGACCCAGGCAGCTGTGTTTTTTGGTTTTTGGTTTTTTGAGGGATCAGTATTACTAAATCGAGATCCATATTAGTTTTTTTTTTTTTTGAGGGATAGGCAGCTGTGTTTTATAAAGGCTTACACAAGTGATTCTTGGCCTCCATAGGATAAAAGGATAGAAAATAGGAAGCCAGCTTTCCAAAAAGAATTGAAGCAAGAGTGAAAGGTTGGAGGCTACAAGTGAAAGTGAACCCTTAGTGCATGGCTATCTCCTTATTTGTATTCTCAATTCTATTTTTTTGTTGTCTTATTTTTAAAACTGCTCTTTTCTGATGAGATCTGTATATTATGATGAACTGAACTGATAAAGGATTTGAGAATGCTTTTTCCTTTCCATAGGAACCAGGACATGATTCTTTTTCTTTTTTTAATTGGTCTTTCACATTATGGTTTTTGTCATTTGTTTCATTTCTAGCTAAGTGAAGAGCAAAAACAACATAGAATAAAATTTCTGAGTAGCCATTTGTGGCAGGTAGTATGTATTCTACCTAGGATTTCTGTACTTTTACAAAGGAATAATCCAAGCAGTCTGGTGTAGAGCCACTGGCCAGTGCAGAGAGTTTCCTTTGTAGGCCAAGTTCTGAAGCCGCCGACCTTGAAAACAACCCCCACACATCCCTTATGTCGTAATGTTCATCTGGGGCTCCTGATAGCATTCTCAGCAGTACTGGCGGCTGTCAGGTAGGCAGCTGGGAAGATAGGTGATTGTATGTCTTAAAGGTACAGGAGGGGATTGCGTTTCTTTCTTTAGACCACTGCAGAAGAAATTTGTTAGTCGGCATTATGCCTGATTTAAGATTACTGCCTGTGTGGTGATTTTAGCATTTTCCTCGCCTCGGCTCGTTTTCAGCAGCAAGAACATTTTTCTTCCACTCCCCCCCCCCCTTTCTCCCTATGTGGCAAACTGTTTTCAGCCGCCAGCTATGATTTATGACTCAGTCCATGCGCCAGCATTCCAGCTGTGAGCAGCTGTGTGCACATCTGGGAACCTCTTCCCCTTAAGCGCCCCCAAAAGAAGATATGTTTTTTAAAGTCAGTATCTCCCCTTGATCCATACATGGAATTTCTTTCCTATTATGGGTGCTGGTATTTGGGGGGACCACCTGGACCCTGAATGCCTTGTATCTCAGAAGATAGCAAGATGACTATCAGATCAAAGAGATTTTGTTATGAAAATGACATACCAGAGGTTTAGATCATTTGGACAGTCTTTCTAAATTTGTTTGTGCGTTGCCACTAGATAAGTTTATATTACCTCCATTGTAAAGATTTTTAAATTACCTGGTTTGTATAACGTTTTACTTTTGTTTTTGTTTATGTTTTTGCTAACGGGTGCATGTGCTCACCAGAGAGAGGGAAAGTAGGAAATCACCCTCTAGGAGGGATGGCCACGCTGCTGTGTCTTCTACATTCTCCTCATGGGATTTTGGGCACACATGTACCTGGTATAACTTTTCAGGCCCCCAGGTACAGGATCTGACCCCCATAACCTCCACTCCACCTCTGGCCCCATTTTAACTTTTTTGCTCTCACCAGTGCCATTAAACATGGATCAGACCCTGTGTTCCATGCCTATATTGCATGATTGCATTTAGACCAAGTTTCAACATTCCTTTCATGAGTTATCAGTCTGTTTGTTTTAAGTTATGGTTCACTTTTGTCTTATAATGACAAGACCTCTCTGGAGGAGATAGACACAGGGTAATACCTTTTCTCCAACCAAGTGTGTGGGTATTGGTATTAGTCTTTATGATGTCTGAAGTTTAATGTCTTATAGTATTGGCCCTGCTTCATTCTCATCCTCTGTTCTTTCATATTTTGAAAGCATAAGCAAGTACATAATCCTAGGTGACTATGAAAAGTATTAAAGGTTACTGCTCAGGGCTGGCTCTGTGCCTAGGTATAGGCAGCTGGATTCCACATGATTTAAGTCCTGGACCTGGTGGCTTGAGAGATATGTCAGGTGTGTGTGCCTGTGTACCCAAATCCTATGAAGTGGAAGAGATGGAAAACAAGGGATTATGGCATGATCATTCCCCATGGAGGGTCTTTTCTTGCTTTTTCTCTGTCTCTCTCTCCTCTAGCAAGCACATGTGCTGTCTTGCAAAATTGGGGGCTGGGGGGATGAAAAGACTTAGGGTAGACAAGGACTTGTGTATCATCTCAGAAGCTACAGTTTATGGGTAATCAACTTAGAATATTAAGGAATGGGATGAGTGGGAGCAGGAGAATTTTTATTTTGGATATTAAGGAATTTTAGGTGTTACTTCTCATCGTTTGAAGTAATGTATAAATAGGACAACTGCATTTTCTTGCAAAAATCTCTTTTGGCATCACTGTTATTACCTGACCTGACCTGTTTCATAGTTTTTAAATTTCAAGAATTTTTCGGAATTGGTAACAAATTGGTATCAAATGATACTAACTTAGGTGTGGTGCTTTTTGAGCTGAGAAACAGATTTTTTTTTTACCCTTTCTCCAATCAGTAATCTTTGTTCATTTTTCTATTTATAGCAGAGCAATGATATTGCTCGGGGCTTTGAGAGAGGACTGGAACCAGAAAAGATCATTGGGGCGACAGATTCCTGTGGTGATTTAATGTTCCTAATGAAATGGTAAGAGAGATTGGGCCTTACTTTATGATTGTGTCTCTTTGCCAGTAACCTGAATTTGTATGGAAGATACGGTGGCAAGACAGTGTTCTTAAACTAAGAATTTTGAATGTCAGGGATTCTTAACTAAAGCCAACTATCAGTATTAAATAGGAATTATGGTTCCAAGTAGATTTAAAAGATTCTTTTTTTATTTTTTTTAAATAAAGGTTTTTGCCACAGGGCACGTGCACTCACTGGAGGGAGACGGAGAGAGGGAAAATGAGAAATCACCCCCACAGAGAGATGGTCACACCATACTCCCTTCTCCTGGGATTTTGGGCATCACACAAACACACTGGTGTGAGTTTCAAACTGCTAGGTCCGGGACTTGAACCGCAGTTGGCCAGGTGGGAATCCAGCACCTTAACCACCACGCCTCCTGCTGGCCCCTAGATTTAAGGTGTTTTTTTGTTTTTTTGTTTTTTTTTTTTAGAGATTTTTGCTATTGGGTGTGTGTGCTCGCCAGAAAGAAAAAGACAGAAAGTGAGGAATCACCCCCCTGGCTGGGTGGCCACATCACAGTCCCTCTCCATTCTCCTTTTGGGATTTTGGGTACACACACACACACACACACATGTGCCTGGTGTGAGTTACAAGCCACAGGGTCCAGGACTTGAACCACAGACATCTATGTGGGAGTCCGGCAATGTAACCATTATGCCATCTGTTGATCCCAAAACATTCTTAAGCTGTAGTATTAAGCCACATTATAGTAGTAGCCCACACTGTCAAGAAAAGATAAAATTGAGGTAGGGAAGCTTATAAACATGACCTAAACATTTGCTTACATAGTTCTGAATCATTTACCATGTGCTATGGGATAGGAATTGAGTGAAACCTTCTACTGTCACTGAGGGCCAGGACCACTGAGTAATGTCTAAAAGAGAAGAATAATCTTAACAAAACCCATTAAGGCTAATACTGGCCAAAGCTCAAATTATTTCATCCGGTCGAGAGAATGGCTCTTAGAGGAAAGTGAAGCACTTCCCCTCAGTTTGGTTTTTTAAAGACAAGATGGTTTATGGTGAGGCCTTCACTACCTCTCTTATTTCCAAGTGTGTGATACACAGAGGGTTCCTGCTGCAGTACCACTACGGAAGCTAATTACCCTAAAGGTTATGTAATGAAAAGTTTCAAATTTGATCTAATCAGAGTACTGCTAGTAAATTACCCAGAAACCTGTATAGTCATGGGTTGCATAATGACATTTTAGTCAACAGTGGACCACATATATGATAGTGGTCCCATAAGATTATGATGAAGCTGAAAAATTCCCGTTGCCTAGTGATGTAGTCATCATAATGTAATACAACACATTACTCACATTTTTCAGTGAGGTCAGTATAAACAAACCTGCGCTGCTAGTTGTATAAAAGTATAACACACATGATTACGCACAGTACCTACCACCTGAAAGTGATACTAAACCACTGTTACTGTTTTATACATTGACCATACTATACTTTTTATCATTATTTTAGAGTATATTCCATGTATTAAGCACATTTAGTGTAAAATAGTATGTCATGTTATGCAGGCAGTAGCTTCATACTTCTGTTTACTTTGTCTCTTGATTGCATCATTTTTCCTGCGCTTGGAAACAATCTCATGTTGTTTTGTTCATTGTGTCCCCTGAGCAGTAGGCTATACCATATGGGTTTGTGTAAATACATTCTGTGACGTTCTCACAACTACGAAATCACTTCGTGACATCGCCTAACAACGCATTTCTTCGAACATGTCCCGAGCGTGTCCCCGTTGTTAAATGGTGTGTGACTGTGTTTGAACAGCCGCTGTACTCTAGCAGAAGTAAGGAGCTGTATGGACTGCTTTTTCCTACTCAGCCGTGCGCTGCTTATGACTTACCTTCACATATTAACTACATTTGTCCAATATAGTCCAAATTTGAGTATTTGCTCTAAGCTGTGTTTTTCCCCTCACCTCTTACCCATAATACTTACCTCTATAGATTAAACATTTTAACTTTCTATTCATTTTTGCATTGAAAATATGTCATGACTTTCCCAACAATCTAATATTAACAGAAGTAGTTGTCTTTGTTCAAATCCCAGGAGAATTTTAATGATTTTAATCACTTTTTAGGGGGGATTTGGAAATCGTGGTTAAGAAACCATGCTGCTGGGCCAGCAGGTGGCGTGATGGTTAAAGGCATGGACTCCTCTGTGGCCGGCTATGGTTTAAGTCCCAGACATGATGGCTTGCTTTGTCACTTTCTCTCTCTCTTTCTTTGTCTATCTCTGGTCAAATTTTAAAAAATAATAGTAATAAATTAATTAAATAAAATTAAAAGTAAAAAAAAAAAAAGGAAAGCCATGTTGCTAAGACTGCAGATAGCATAGTGACGTAACGTCACTGGACTCTCACATGACCAACTGTGGTTCCAGTCCCAGACTGGTGGCTTAGAACTCACGCCGGGTGCATGTGCGGGCGTGCCCAAGATCCTGAGAGGAGAATGGAGGAGAAGGGATTGTAGTGTGGCCATCCCCCGGGGGGGGGGTGATTTCTTATTTTCCCTCTCACTGTCTGTGTTTCTGTTTCTGGTGAGTACACACACCCTAAGCAAAAACCTCTACACACAAAGAAAAGAAAGCATCGGGGCTGGCAGGTGGCATGGTGGATAGGGGCGCTGGACTCCCACATGGCCAACCACGGTTTCAAGTCTCAGACCTGGTGGCTTGCTTTCTCTCTTCCTCTCTCTCTCTCTGTCTCTCTGATCAAACTGGAAAATAATAATGATAATAATAATAAATAAAGTTAAATAAAATAATTTCTTTAAAAAAAAAGTGCTAGATTTTTTTTTTCTTTTTTTTTGGGTGGTGGTGGTGGTGTACTTGGTAGTAGAAGCTATGTGACTTGGATAATTGAAATTTGCAGCTAAATTTTTGTTTTCTCATTGTTCCAATCCATAGTGTGTTTTTTGTTTTGTTTTTCTTTTTGCTATAGGGCACATGCATTTGCCAGAGAGAGACAGACAGACCGAGAAAGTGAAAAGTATCCCCCAGTGGGGATGACCACACTGCAGTCCTTTCTCTTCCAGCCTTCTCTTGGGATTTTAGGCACACACTCACATGTGCCCAACATGATTTTCAGGCCACCAGTTCTGTGACTCGATCCACAAAGTGGGCCTTGTGGGATCCAGAGTCTTAATCTCCACACCACTTGCTGGCCCTACTGATTCATAGTTTTGACCAAAGGGTTAATAAATACTTAAAAGGTCACAAAGTGAGGTGGATTAGGACGCCTTCATTTAGATGATCCAGAAGCTCGATTGATCTATTTTTTGCATAATCAATAGAGAAGAAGGTAGGTTCAATTATGTTCACTCACATGCTCATACACACAAATAAAAATTATGGAAGCAGGGCCTAGCTTCATGGCCTAGTGGTTAAGGAGTCATATCTCACGTGGCCAACTATGTGGTTCAGATGCTAGCAGATTGATAAACACTCAGCACATGTGTGCGTACCCAAAATCCTGACAGAAATTAGTGCAGGAGAAGAAACTATGTTACCATGCCCCATTGGGGGTTGCTTTTCCTCTCTCTGTATCTTCCTCTGGCAATTTTTTTAAAAAAAGAAATATGGTGCCAGAATTAATATAATTTTTATTTTTCAGCCCTTTTGACTGAGCCTATATGTTTTGTGTCTAAATTCTAGCTTCAGACATCTGTTTCTATCTAATAGTCTGATATAGTACTTAAATGATATCCACTCAGAATTAATTAATATACTTAAATTTCTCCTTGAAAATATTGAACAGTGAGGGTCTTTTAAAAAAAAGAATTATTTATATATTTATTTATTTTTAAACAACATTTATTTATTTCATTTTATTTGTTGATATTATTTTTTAATTTGACCAGAAAGATAGAGCAAGAAAGTGAAAAAGCAAGCCACCAGGTCCAGGACTTGAACCACGTTTGGCCACATGGGAGTCCAGCGCTTCAACTACCACACCACCTGCCAGCCCCTATTTTATCTTTTTAAAATTTATTTATTTTGGGAACCAGCAGTTAGCATAATGGCTATGTCGCTGGACTCCCACTTAGATGACTGCAGTTCACGTCCCAGACCCGGTGGCTTAAAACTCACACCGGGCGCGTGTGCGTGTGTGCCCAAGATCCTGAGAGGAGAATGAAGGAGAAGGGATTGTGGCATGGCCATCCCCCCTGGGGGGTGATTTCTCACTTTCTGTCTCTATGTCTCTCTCTGTCTGGCGAGTGCACGCGCCCTATAGCGAAAACCTTTCCAAAAAAAAAAAAAAAAATTATTTATTTTAGGCTGGCAGGAGGCATGGTGCTTAAGGTGCTGGACTCCCACATGGTCAACCATGATTTAAGTCCTGGATCTGGTGGCTTGCTTTCTCCCTCTTTGTCTCTCTCAGGTCAAATTGAAGAGTAATACTCAATAAGTAAAATTAAATAAAAATTTTTAAATTTACTTATATTAATTCACTGAACATCATCACAGCATACAAAATGTGATTTCCCATCCAGGATATACTGTATGTATATTGGCTTAATTATACATGTCATTGTCAACAAATAATTTTCCTTTTTTTTTTTTTTTTTTTTAAAAATCGGGAACCAGCAGTTAGCATAATGGCTATGTCGCTAGACTCCCATGTAGTCAACCGCGGTTCGCGTCCCGGACCCAGTGGCTTATAACTCACGCCGGGTGCGTGTGCGTGCGTGCCCAAGATCCCGAGAGGAGAATGGAGGAGAAGGGATTGCGGCGTGGCCATCCCCCCGGGGGATGATTTCTCACTTTCTGTCTCTCTGTCTCTCTCTGTCTGTCTGGCAAGCGCACGCACCCTATAGCGAAAACCTCTCCAAAAAAAAAAAAAGAATTATTTATTTTAGGGTCAGCAGGTAGCGTGGTGGTTAAGGCACTGGACACTCCCACATGGCTGACCATGGTTTGAGTTTTGGACCTGGTGGCTTGCTTTCTCACTTTCCTAATCTTGTGTGTCTGTCTTTCTCTGGGCAAATGAAAATGGTTGAATGAATAAATAAAATAAATAATTCTTTTTTTAAGAAAAAAAATATTTTTTTCACATGAGTTTACCAGAGAAAGATGGTGGGGGTGGGGCGGAGGAGTGAGAATGCGAGCCACCAGGTTCAGGACTTGAACTATGGTTAGCCATGTGGGAAGTCCAGTGCTTCAACCACCATTCCACCTGCTGAGCCCCTAATTTTCCATTTCTTGTTTGTTTTGTTTTGTTTTTTGATTTGCTATAGTGTATGTGTGCTCACAAGCAAGGGGTGGGGTTGGGGGTTGAATGAGAAAGCAAGCTGCCAAGCCTAGGACTCGAACTGTAGTTGGCCACATAGGATTCTAGTGCCTCAACCACTACACTACCTACCGGCCCCAATTAGGGTCCTTTTTACCATGAAATCAAGGTGATGAATGAAAGTCAGCTAAATTAATAACACAACCTATGTTTGGACAGATTTTTTTTTATTTCCTTTCCTTCTAAGTCTCATATTCTTTCTTTGCAGGAAAGATACAGATGAAGCCGACTTGGTTCTTGCAAAAGAAGCTAATGTGAAATGTCCACAAATTGTGATAGCATTTTATGAAGAGAGACTGACGTGGCATGCATATCCTGAGGATGCGGAAAACAAAGAGAAAGAAACAGCAAAGAGCTAAAGGAGGGGGTGGTCTCTGTCATTTCTCTTTGTACATAATACATTCACCTCCCTGCCTCCTCTCCTTTCTACCCAGCCCCTTCTATCCTAAACACATCCATAAAAAAATGTGCTTATCACTGTGCTCCACAGGAGAAATGTTGGTATTGGTTCTCTTGTAACATAACTGATGGTCTGATTCATGATAAGTGTCTCTCTGTGACGATCAGGCATTTACATACTGTGTGTAAATCCCACAACTTTTTCCTTTGCTCTGATCTCTTCCTTCTGTTCCCCTGTGACCTCAAGATGAGTTTTAACTTTTTAATCCCCTTAGAGTCTTGATCTTTTCAGGATTGTCACTTTTTAGATTGGGGGATTTTGTTACAATAATGATGAATTTTGGTTCCTTGCTTTGGTTCTTAGAACATGTTGATGACCAGCTGGCCTCTGTTTTGACATGTTGGAATAGAAAGGATGTTGCTCATCTTTTAAGAAGCGAATAGCAACTGCCTGCCTGTTGGGGCTTTCCTGACTTTGTTCAGCTCTATGCAGAAGCACACAGGGTTCCCAGTGTGGTCTTCTGGTCTACCCTCTGTTGTTTATCCTCACCCTTCCTGCCAGAATAACTCCGTCCTTTGGACTTGAAATTTTACATTGAAATTGTCAAGGCACTCCTTTTAGCCCCAGGATTTTTGGCCTTGTTTTTACTAATCCCTGATTCTGCTTCTGCAAGGTGGTGTCAGTTTGTCATAAAATGACAAGATGATTAACTGTTGAGCTTTTAGTTATAGTATATGAAGATGATGGGGTAGGGGCAGGATACAGTTGTCTTTATCGGCACATATAGTATGTGTGTATTATTTCCTTCCATCCCTCATATTTAGACTATATATTTATGTGGATGTGAGTGATTGCCTGGTGCTTGCTTGTGCCAAGGTGCTAGGCACCCTCCAACCTTGCCAACTCTTGTGGCCTCCCAAAGCATTCCTGTTACCAAAGAGGCTTCAAACCTGACCCTCCCTTCTCTATGGACCCAAGTTTTCCCTTCCATGCCATTATATTCAGTGGGGGAATTCTTGGAGGGGAGCCGTTGGTCACAGTATCGATTTTAAATATTCATAGCAGTTCTAGTCATTAGTTTTCTGCTTTTTTGACTCTTGCATTTGCCACAAGAGTCCCTAAAGTATTAATGCTCTTCCATTTTTTTCACCCTTAACCTCTTAGTTATACTTCATTTTTAAAAATGCATTTCCATGGAAGACTGTCACCTCAGAAAGTGACAGGCCTTGCATTAGCATGTCAACACAGCCTCTTCCACTACTCAGCAAAATATTTCCCTTTGGTTTCCTCTTGCTTTGCTATGATATTGAGAGATTCTTCTGAGCATATCCTTCTACCTTTGACCCTCAAGAAATACCCTACTTCTCTTTATCCTTTCCTTCTTGTAGTTGAGGGGGGCTAGAGAATCAGGGCTAAAACGTAAGGAAATAGCAGGGTTTCGAGTATCCTTGTCTCAGCCCCAAAGCTGAGAAAAGAAGAATACATGCTTGAAATAGCCTTAATTCTAGAGTTCACCAGCCATTGAGGCTGTTTTTGTTGTTGCTTTTGATTTTTTAGAACATATAGCTGTCTGGCCAGGAGCATTCAACCATTTCTAGATTATTCAGAGTGATGAGGGGAATGGATGGATTGCTCTGGTCCACAGATGAGCCAAATAATATGCAAATCATATACCCATTCATAGCATTTGTTAACATTGCTTCCCTGCTCAGCTGCTGATTGAATTCTGTGTGCCTGTATAAATTATGTCAGATATTATACTGCACAGTTGAGAAGACAGCTGTTGCTGTAGTGACATGACAGACTGGAACAATGAAGCTTTTGGTTTAAGTCACCTAGGAAAATCCTTCTGAATGGTAATGTGATTAGGTGAGAGCTCATAACCCATACCTCAAGTAGGTGGGAGTTTTATCTCCATATTCCTTTGCTATCTGAAGGAATTAAAGGCCTCGATCAAGTGCTAAATAATTGGCAATTGTTTGTATTTAATCTGATAGGCATCTGAAAGGAAGAAAGGATGATCAGGAAACAGATTTGTCTTATAAGTAACTAAGGATATCAATTAGCTTAGACAAGAATAGAACAAATACAGGCCAGAACTCCTGAGGAGGTGATCTGCATCTCTGGATCTATAGCTGGAGAAAATAATGGCCTATCCAAGTTGCGAGTATGTGCCTCTTGGTGGAAGTAAATGTGCATGTAAACTGTACCGACCATAGTTTTATGTCGAAAAATCTAGCTTGGATGAAGAACACAACAATATTTGATACTGAATCATCTAAATCTGGAATACCAAAATCATCCCAGTGTCACCTACTAGTCCTCACCATCTTTCTATCCTTGGTTTATTGAATCATGGTCTTGTACTGAGAACCACCAAAATAACCTTTGTTCTCTTCCTGTCTACCCATAGCTGGTTCTAGAGGAATGTAGAAAGCCAGAGGCCAATACTGATTTCAGCCCTCAGCACAAGGGAATCCAGGTGCCTGCCTCTGCCTCCAACAGCCATTAGTGCTGAGTTACTGTCCCCTACCTTGGAGAACTGCAGCTTCAAACAGAACTTATTTCATGGTGCATTCTTCCCTGGAGTGAGCACTCTTGAACACCTAGGTCTCAGGTGCTCAAAGCTTATTTTTCTTGTGTTTATAGTCCTCTATCAAAATATCTTACAAATGCTGCGTTTCTTTTAGTATTCAGCACTAAACGGTCTCATAGAACAAATACAGGCCAGAACTCCTGAGGAGGTGATCTGCATCTCTGGATCTATAGCTGGAGAAAATAATGGCCTATCCAAGTTGCGAGTATGTGCCTCTTGGTGGAAGTAAATGTGCATGTAAACTGTACCGACCATAGTTTTATGTCGAAAAATCTAGCTTGGATGAAGAACACAACAATATTTGATACTGAATCATCTAAATCTGGAATACCAAAATCATCCCAGTGTCACCTACTAGTCCTCACCATCTTTCTATCCTTGGTTTATTGAATCATGGTCTTGTACTGAGAACCACCAAAATAACCTTTGTTCTCTTCCTGTCTACCCATAGCTGGTTCTAGAGGAATGTAGAAAGCCAGAGGCCAATACTGATTTCAGCCCTCAGCACAAGGGAATCCAGGTGCCTGCCTCTGCCTCCAACAGCCATTAGTGCTGAGTTACTGTCCCCTACCTTGGAGAACTGCAGCTTCAAACAGAACTTATTTCATGGTGCATTCTTCCCTGGAGTGAGCACTCTTGAACACCTAGGTCTCAGGTGCTCAAAGCTTATTTTTCTTGTGTTTATAGTCCTCTATCAAAATATCTTACAAATGCTGCGTTTCTTTTAGTATTCAGCACTAAACGGTCTCTTTTTTTTTCTTTCTTTCTTTTTTTTTTAAATAGAGTTTAGCAGAGCTGTTGTCTGGTAGTCTTACCAAAGACAGCTTAGCAACTCCTCTTATCCCTAGTCTGGGCATGGAGTCCTCACATCAAGATCAGCTCTTACAGATGGACGTGCCCATGTTAAACCTAAAGAGAGCTATGTTTTTCTTTTCTCCTTTGAATAGCAATCCTTTTTTTGGGTCTGTTCTAGGGAGTCCTTAAACTCGTGTTGCTCCTAACACTCAAGTGTACAGGTGGTCCTTGGCTGTCCTTCAGCCATATCCATGTACTACGTTTTGTTGATGAAGGGTCAGTCCTGTTCCCATAGCATGGGCAGTTACTAAGTCTATTTCTCTTCGGTAGCTACCCTGCAGTTCACTTTCTTTATGTTCAGACCAAATTATAGGGCACTGGGGTAGGTTTTTAGGATTTTCATTTTGAAATTTTGTTGGATCTGTGAAATAGCCCAGCTCATGTACAGTAAGGGGTTAGAAGGATCTGTGTTTGGGTTAGGGAGCAGTTGTGAATCCTTAGTGTTCAAATTCGGGGGCCTAATATACTGCTTTGCCCTGACATGAGAACTCCTTTAGATTTAAAATGAGAAAACTGCTTCTTACAAATCAGGTTAGAGGAAAAGCTTATTTTGTGCCTAGGTCCCTGTCCTTTTTGGTTTAGGTTTTTACAGTAGAAATGACAGTATCTGTACTTTTGTAATTAGACCACCAAGCATACCTGTGGCAAGGCAGAGAGGAAAGTTCTGGCACCCGGTATATGGCAGTTTCATGCTAGCTTCACCCACTAATTATAAAAATTACGTTTCAAAAATAAAGATATTATCAGTTTTACACCCAGAAACATACACTCTGAACTGGGACTCCCACCCACCTAGTTTGCATTGAGCTATCCAGATTCCAGCCATGTGAGTATACATCAACACTGGTTTCATTCAGCCAGTTTTTGTTTTTGTTTTTGTTTTTGCCCAGGCATAAAAAATTCAAAAAGAAGCCATCCCTGCCCTCAGCTTTCATGCTTGTATGAGATGACCTGATCATTAGTAAATGATTCAATGTGCTATCAATACTGCAGCGGGTACAAACTTCGGATTTTGGAGCAGAGACAACTGGTTGACAGTGTAATTCATGGCCCTAAAAAAGGAGGGTGACCTTCTTTTATATGTGGAAAAGACATATAAAGGGTGAACTGAGCTAACTAGCAATGGAACACAAGAAATGCTTGTTTTATTCTAGAAAATAAATATTGCTGGAAATTGGTTAGAAATGCTATTATTACTGAGAGCAAACAGGTGAGTGGAGATTGAAAACCCCTGGTTTTGATCCATGGTTTAGACTCTTGGCTGAAGTATTTAGTGGCATAGTTAATCCTTGCTTCTGAAAAGTGTTAATTATGTTGCAGAGCTAGATTTGTGCTACATTATTGCAGGTTCTGGAGCAATGTTTATTCTTCATGGACATTTTATCAGAGTTATTCACAACTTTTTCAGTTTCTCATTGTCCTTGGAGAAATGATCGTGACTCTGGCTTTAAGTCTAAAACAGGGACATACTTTTCAATGACAAGAAATAAAGGGCCTGGGGCTTTCTCTGTTAATACCTGAGAATCAGTTTGGGCAGTATAGTTTTAATCAGTACTGCAAGAGCATGACTTCAGTGTAGGGACTTAAGTCAGTTATGTGGAAACCTTTCCCAGAAATACACATACCCTAGAGTCTTAGATT